TACAAACTGTGAGCTAAATAAACCTTTCCTTCCTTAATTTTGGGTGTTGGATATTTTGTCTCAGCAGTGAGAGAAAAGTAACCAAGACAACCACAAAGAAATATCACCCCTCCACCTGATAGAATGGTTACTACCAAAAAGTAAAAATAATTATAATAATAATAATAATCAGCACTGGTGAGGATATGGGCAAAAGGGACCCGTGGTTCATTGTTAGTATGATTATAAATTGGGTCAGCCATTATGGAAAACGATATGGAGGCTCCTTAACAATTCAAAAAATATAACTACCATATGGTCTAAGACTCTCACTTCTGGGTATATAGCCAAAGGTAATAAAATCAGTATTGCAAAGAGGTATCTGTAATTTCATACTCGTTGCAGCATTATTCACAGAAGCAAGATACGGAAGGAAACTTAGCAGCAGATGAATGGATAAAGAAAATGTTCACCAGTTTGAAACCCCTTAGAAATCCATGCCAGGAAAAATATGGAAAGCATGTGAAACTATTTCTGCTATTTTAATTTTAGAACACTAGAAATAAATGGTTAACACTAAAAGTAGTCTACTCTGTATGAACTATTAGTTTTCTAACAATCTGCATAAATGAATGTGGACATTTTATTCCTCACAAAAAGGAGGAGGAGGTGGTGGACAGAAGTGTCATTTCACAAAGTAGCTTATTTTCAAGGCCTTTGACAAGCCACTTTAAAAAGGATAATGGAATAAGAGCTAAAAGCTTCCTATCAGTCATTGTTTTTGAAATTCGCTTGGATGTGGTCTCCAATCACAGTTTCCTGGACAGACGGCCTTTATGACGGCTGCCCACTGATCCATTAAAATGACAAGCTGAGGGCCACACAGCAAACTTAATGCACTTAACTTGACACTAACAGGGGAGATGACAAAAGGGGTTCCTCTAAGTCTTTTGCAAAATGCTCTACACCTGGGAACAGAGAAAACTTTCAAGTTAGAAGGCTATCTTTAAAGCTCCAGGCGTTAGAACCAGAAATGTGCAGTGATGGTGCCAGAGGGATCAAAGTGATTCTAAATTGGTATTAGAAACCTTAGGACACAAAGCGTGTAAGGGCATCTGCTACAGTAATGTTCCTGTTGCTGCTTCCTGGTGATGGGTTAGTATTAAACTACCATCTCTATCAAGCTTTCTGGACATTATGAGTGGATGACACCACCCATCCAGTCTCTTTAATTATAATCAGGAATAGATTATTTATACTGATGTAGCGTTAAGACAGTTAACAATGAATTGTGAGTAACTTTCTTGGGACTCTTTTTGTAGCCAAGAACTGTTATGATTCTTAACTCATACAGATCAAGTTCTGTAGAGCAAAGTTTAAGAAGGAAAAAAATATGAAAACTTTCCTTCTTTGACATAGGTCTTTAAAGGGACTCTACTTCTCCTCAACGTGAACAATGAGGAGATAAAGTGCTACATACTTTGCATCTTTCTCACAAAAAAATAAGAAGAATAAATAATAAATGGGCTCATTTCTTAACTTTTATTCTGAAACACTTTTAGAATCTCAACAAAAATAAATGAAATGAGTATGAAAGTAGGAAAAAACAGACCAATGTGTTCTTTTAAGTTTTTGCTTTAAAATAATTTTAAAGCCACTTGCCCAATTTTTCCATCTTCCCTATTTTATCCAGGTGTTGACTGGCTTAGTGCACATTCCTCAAGTCTGCTAGAAGTCTCTCGATTCTTTGTTGTAGGTTAACTTCTCAATGATTTTTACTTTAAAAAGACTTGGCTCTCTTTTGAGGCTCAATTTTGGAAGTAAAATTCCCAGGATGAAAATTATGAACTATCTTTGAATAATTCTTTTGGTATAAAAGCTTTTTCAAAGGACTCATGATGTTTCTGGCTGCCTCCATTTCTGTCTTCCTAAACATAACTGGACAGTGGTCGGTAGGAGGCCATTGCATTTTAAAGCTGAACATGTGAATATGCTATATGACAATCACTGGCTACCAACTAACTCCCTGTCACCCATACACCTACTCTTTTTAGGAACAGAGCACTCTCAAGTTCTAGTTGGATGTGTGCCCATCCAGCTATGTATATTCCTGCTTTCATCAGATATGTGTGGCTAAATGACTGAATTCTGGCAAAAAGGTATAAGAAGAAGTGATTTGTGCAAGTTGCAGGCCATCTCTTTGAAGACACCGGCTCCACATTCTCTGTTCCCTGTCCTGGTGTCTGAGGACAGAACAACTGGAGCACTGCTTTGCACTCAAGGATGGAAGCCATATGTTGATGAGAGTAGCTTGGATAGACCAGTCATGGGACGAATGGAATAAGTTACCACTCCACCTCTATTCATTTTCTCATTTGTGTATTCCTCGTGATGTTCATATCTTCAAACACCGTATAAAAGAAAGTTGGGGGAGCAAAGACAAGCTTTGTTTTTGGTTTCTGCAAATCTACATCCTGGGTCTGCACTGTAACAATTGTTCCTGTCCAACAGGTCACAGACGTACCCAGCACCTGGGTCTCAGACTTGAACCAGACTCCACCAAGAAAGCCATGTCTTGCTGCCTTCTCTTGCTCTTGTGATTAAGAAAGGTAGAGTTTGTTAAGTGCTTCACATGCACTAGTCTGCAGTTTCCTCTGCCTCTATCTTGCCAATCCAATGCTAGAAGGTCAGATGTAATGTCCTCTTTGGGATGCCAGCCTCTTCCTATATTTCTTTGACAATTTTTAGTCCCCTTTCTACAACCTTTGGGCAACCCCCAGCATTTCCTTGTCTCCAGCCCTCTGTGAGATCTTTCTATACACTTGTACAATACTTGAAAAAGGAAGAGGGACATGAAACATTAAACCCCCAAAAGGCCCCTTGCTGTTCCCAAAACTAGCCAAATCAAAGAGGCAGTGAAAGTAGGTCCAGACCAGAATGTCCGGTTAAGTATTATTTGAAAAAACATCAACTCCTTCACATGTACACTGGGAACTCAGCAAGCATTGTGTATAAGAAGTATTCTTTTCTACAAGGCGGCTGTTCCTTGGAATGATGGTTACACAAAGGAACAAACTTAACTCTATCAACATTTATGTATTTAAGTACCTCCCTCCATACTGACCTGTCCAGCCAGCTACCAGGGGACTCTTGCTGCTAGTAAATTTCAATAAACCCTATGTGTTGTGTGTATCTCCTGGTAATTTCTTTGTTCTCATAGCAACCTAGCTCAGGGTCCTCACATAGATAGGCTTCACACAGGATAACTGTTAAACCAGCCAAGACACTATGGAGTTTAAAAAGCATAAAAAAGTCAGGGAAATTGCAGGATGACCTTGTATCTCCAAGTGGGAGAGGGCAGCACTTTTATAGTTAAGCGGGGACTACTACATGAGCACAAGACTGCCTCAGATCACCACAACGGTAATGGAAACGTTTATTGTTTTAAAGAAAAAGGACGTGCTGAATCGGATTACAGCAGCCATAGGGTGACTTCTTCTCGCAGCAGTATGGGCAGTAACAGTGGCTGAGCTCCAAGCTGAAGCCCAAGTCCATGTCAATTTCGGGAGGAACTGAAACTGCAGAATGAAGAGTGTACACATCAAGCTGAAATCACTGAGCAATTAGTTGGCCATGTGAGAAATACTGGTGATCACTGCTTCTGTTACTAAATACCCCACACAGCAGCATTTGTACCCAGCCATTAAGGAAGACAGTGCCATCTCTTTGCTAGTTTGGCTAACAGCTGATAGCAAAGGTGTTTGGCCCAGCTCTTTGGTACCCAGAGCTTCTCCTATTTGGTTCAAGATTTGCTGAGGATTGCAGTTTACCTGTGGTGCCACACAATGGCAGCCTATGAAAGAATTAAAGTACTTCCTAAGAGTGTAAGGAACTAATATATCCCTTTTTTAAATTAAATTGTTTTATTCTCCTACTTTCTCTGTGATTCCCTTCTGGACCAGCAAGAAAGAAATTTAAAATCTCTTCACCTTAGTTTTTCTAGCCATCCCAAAGAAATATTATAAAAGCTAATTTTCAATCATGAAAGTTGGGACATAGAATGTACAAAGTGTTGTCGAGCTACTCTGCAAGGGAGAGGATGGCTTTAAATTGTGCCTGCCCCTAGACTGTTGGATAGGTAGCTCCTGGCATAAAAACAGGTCCCTTCATTTTAACCAGCTACATCTAACCTAGGAGTGACAGAGCCGCAGCCCACGTGAGGAGGAGGGACTTCCTCCTCACCAGGATGAAGCTTCTGTAACACACATGTCTTCTCCATACTTCACATCACAGTCTTCTTGCACCCAAGAACGCTAGATAGCACTTTAGCACTACACCTGGGGGAGGGGAATTTTAAGCAGAAATATCACTGATGTAAACCACAAAAAATACAAAATAAATAACACTGAAGAGATAATGACATAGAACTTGTTTATTGCATTTGAGCTGCAACAAGAAGACAGGGCATGGCTCTGTTCAAGCTCAGCTGGAAGCATGCATGCCAGCTGGAGCATAGCCTCAGTTAGAGCATTAGATGACTCAAAGGTTTTGTAGCTCTGAGCAAGAACATGTTTGTAAATGGCTACAAAAGCACTAGGAGTATTGATTTGGGAGTTGCAAGTTAATTTTAGCAAGTAAGTAAATTTGCACATACGGCATACACAACTGACTGTTTTCTACAACTTCTCATCTCAAACATTCAACAGCATCTCCTTTACCCTCACTCTTGAAGGAACATTCCTTTCTCATTTGTTAAGAAAATTAAAGCAAGCAGAATAGAACCTCTGACTCCTACCACCACTCCATCAACCTTCTAGCTCTGTAGATTCCTATCTGTCCCTAATGCTAGTGAAATAATCAGATGTAAGCACTAAGTAATGTGTCTTTGTTACTTATGTCATTGCTGAGACAAAATACTTGACACCCAAAGTTAAAGGAGGAAAGATTTATTTTGGCTCACAGTTTGTAGAGGTTTCAGTCCATAAATGGCTGGCTCCAAGGCAGGGTGGAATGGCAGAGGGCATCACAGAGCAGGCAGGAAGGAGGCAGAAGAATATAAGCAGTAGCAGTAGCAGTAGCAGCAACCATAGCAGCAAGCAAACAAGTCACAAGCAGTGTTCCTCTTTCTGCCCCTTGTAACCTACCAAAACTACCCACGCTTATAGTGGTTAGCACTCACACTCAGGTTCGGGCAGCCTTAATCTAAGCATCACACTATATATCAATCCCAGCATCACACACATCCTTGATTCCAGCATCACATACCCTAGATCCAGCCACCTCTGAAAATCCCCACGTATGGCCACATGAGGTTTTGGGGGAACACCTAGACACAAGCCATAACAATGATATTTACAAAGTTACTAATTGCAGATTTATTTGGAAAAGTTAACAACTGAAAGAATCTAAATAAATAAGACAGTTGTTCAAATATATATAAAATGCTATGCAGTCACTATAAACTACACAGTGAATGTTTAATAATATAGTAATATTTGTTATAAGAAGAAAATGTAGATTCTGAAAGAAATTATAAAATCTATCCCTAGTTTTATAAAAGGAAAAAAATGGATTCATTCTATCTATGTGTATTTGCACATTGGAAAATAATCTGAAGGCCGTATATGATGTTATAACATTTAACCTTAGTTTGCCTGACTTCAAAGCCCAGGGTCTTCACCACTCTGCTGAATTAATGTGGATGCTCTCAGCTGGTCTGAGATGGAGACCATACGAGCTACCCTTCACCCTAGTCCAATAAGCCACACTATATACATTTTACCGGTTGGTTTCTAGAATGTACATTAACAAGCCAGAGTTACAATATCTCTTTATTCTTTACAAAGACACTCTATTTAATTGTAAAATTGGGAGTAAAACTAAAGAGTTTGTTAAATCTAACAAAATATCTACCAACATGTAAGTTGATATCATTGTCTCTTCAGTCTAAAGCAGATTATGAAGATTCAAGTCCCATACACTGTGGTGGAATAAAACAAACAGCCCTATGATAGCAAAACCAACCAAAGAGTTAGTATTCCTTGACCTGTATTGAAAGAAAGAAGAAAGAAAGAAAGAAAGAAAGAAAGAAAGAAAGAAAGAAAGAAAGAAAGAAAGAAAGAAAGAAAGAAAGAAAGAAAAAGAAAGGAAGGGAGAAATTCCCATACAAAAGAGCAAATATAGCCATAAGGTAGGGAAGAGCTGTGTTCGTAGTAGGTGGAAAAGCTCAAAGCCAGATTTCCATCTTGATAGCTGCTCTAGTTCTCACAGCTACCCTCAGGTAATCCCCACCAGATGTTTTGAGAGATTATCATAATTTCCCAAATCTATCCCAGCTCCCCAAGATAGTTCAGTTCTGTCATCAGATTCTAAAACTCACCTTCCAACACTATTAAGAAACAGTATATTACCTGGTGAGAAAATAAGAATGAATAATAAAATGTCAATATAATACTACTTGGTCTTTAAAGAGCTGAAGTAAATTATAGTTTTCATCTTCACAATAATCCTACAAAACAGGAAGAGTGGATCCTGTTACCTTCTTTGATAGATGAAGAGGGCAGAGCTAATGCGATTACAGGCTGTTCTGTCAACAGGTTGAGAGGCCAGGGTGAGAACTTAGCCGTGCTGGTCCTGGACCCTAGCTCCCGAAATCATGCCTTGCGCTGGCACCTGTCAGTGGAGGCCCTGAACACGGTGCACCCAGAATGATCAGACACCATCCTCCCACCCCTTCTCTCTGCTCACTCTCGATACATACCGCTCATTGCGGATGGTCAGTGTGGTATCTAATGTTTCCAGGATCTTGTCTCGTTCAAAGACTTGGACGGAGACAACTAACAAACAGGACAAATTAATATTTGTTGAGGAAAATGAGGGGAAGAGAAGAAGAAGGAAAAAAAGAGGAAAAGAAGAAAGAGAAAAGAGAAGATACGTCCTGCACACAGGACCAGCCACAGCAAGAATAGGGGGACGGTGGCAAGGAGGTATAAGAGCCACCATCTTTTGTGTCCTCTTTTGATGTCAGATCTGGGCCTTCCCACAGACTCTGAAGCTGCTCTATATATGCGCCTAGATTGTGAGACAGCGCCCTCTGTGACAGGTCACGCCCAGCGGTCCAGCCGTGATTGGCTGAGATTTGAGCGCTGTCAGTGGTTGATAAATCGCGGCCAGTTTCACTACCATTTTTTCATGCGCTAGTCTCCCGCCTTACTCTGCATAATCCAGAAAGGCTTTCCCACTGAGTACCCCGCTGGCTGCACACTAGTCAGAGATGAGATTCTGCCTTGATACAACAACATATATCTAGGTTACCTAATTGCCTGCTCAATAATTATTATCTAAATTATATTCCTAATTTTCTATATTCTTCTGTAGTCTATCTTCAAAAAGGCAAAGGTGAAGAAAACATTCTATGATGAGGGAAATGTTAACAGTATTAATTTTTTTAAATTATATATTTTTTTCTGGGCTGTGTTTGTTGTCAGGACTTGGATCCCTTTGGGCTCCTGACTGCTGCTCTTCAGCTGCCTTTCCTGCGCCTGTCCTCTCCCACCCACCTGCATGTCACACAGTCTCCTCCGTGGAGAAATGGGTCTCATTTCTACAAGAACTGGGTTCTTAAAGTCTGGGAATCAGTTGGTAAACTGGAAGAATCTGATTGTGGGACCCATCCATTCCAAGGGCAGACATTGAAAAATACTGAGAACTTTTAAAATTAGGACTTTATGTGAAAATGAGAAAAAGGATGATTGAATATACACTTTGAAACAAAAATGACAGGTACTTTCTTTACATACTCAAAAGGCCATTTTATCCAGGCCAGAGCCAAGAAACCTGTGGACCTGTGACCTTTGACCCACAGGTCAGCTTCAGTGCTCCAGGCAGGGCCCCTTCTTAACTGTCACAGAACCCAGGAAAGTTCTTAACTGTCACTGATAACGGGTCCAGCCATATCTCTTGATGTACCCACAGCTCCAGGCACCTTTGAAATCAGTGTATATTCAGATATTTCTGCTGGACTGAATGTTCCCAGAAGAAACCAGACTGAAGGAAAAAGCATAGAATTCCTGAAAGAAAAATCCTTTGCGAACAAAGAAGTTTAGTCAGTTGGACATGACAGAGCAGCAACGCCTGTCTGCCAGACAGACTTATGGGGCTCAGGGAGAACCTGGGCCTGAACATGGCTGCCCCAGTTATCCACTCCTCCTCAAGAAGCAGTCTGTGCCATATATGCTCCACACCAATGGAGGAGGACCCAGGGGAGACAGAGATGGAGGCGGAGTGGGGGAGTAGCCTCTGTGAGAGGTAGAGGTCCTGCATGGGGCAGAGGAACTGCCAAGCACAGGTGCCTGCTCTTCTAATGGAAGCCAGCATCCTGCTCTACAAGTGCTCCGGAAGTAAAGTGATCTAACTAGAAGCTACCCCATTTGCTTAAGCAAAATAAATCAGACACACAGGATTAAATATCCTATTTTTCTCTTATGTGAGACACTAAAGTATAAATAAGAGCAAAGTGGAGGAAGATATTAGAAAGTAGGAAAATTATTCAAATGGGAGGGGAGCAAGAGACGGGGGGATGAGGGAGGGAAGGAAGGGAGAAGGGATTTAAGGGAAAGAAAGAATTGAAGAAAAAAATGCAAACAGAGTTTGTGAAAATTGGGAGGGGAAAAAGGGTTGGAGGGAGGGGAAAGAAAGAGAACCTGCCCCCAAAAGAATTAAGATGTGTTATGTACAGGTAAAAATCCCCCATGATGAATATGATCATTGTGTATTGCAAACATGTATGAAAGAAAGAAAGAAAGGAAGAAACTGTTGATGTAAGCACAGGACTAGCCGCCAGCATACCAACCGTCTCCTTTGAAGACATGCCATGTAAGGTTTCTTGTGAAACCCGCCACACCCCTCCCATCGACTGGTGGTTTTCAATCTTTATACGTCCTCGCTGCCTTCAATGTGCAAATGAGTTGACTTACATCAGTTGTGTTATTACACATCCAACTCGTAAGCGTGAGAAGACTGAAGAAGGTCTCCCGGTAAAAACCAAAGGAGACCTGAATTTTGTAAGCATTGCTTTCTGGGTACCTGAGTCTCTCACAATGACATGGACTGAAAAATCATGGAAGGAAAAAGCCATAAGTGGCCCAAAGCTGTACATACAGAGAGAAGCTCAAGAGTTAGAATTCACCCTGTTCGTCTTATTTTAGACAAACTATATTTTTCAAAGTTTAAAATGAGATTTTTAAGAATATTGAGAAAATATCTCAATGCAAATTCTATTTTCCTGGTGTCTCTCCAGTGCTAAAACATACCCACCTTGCAAAAAACAAAAACAAAAACCTGAGTCCCCTTACCAGTGATTTTCCTCCAGAAAAAAGAGGGGAGAAGGACTTATTATGAGTAATTAGAAAACTGAAAGCAGAATGACTTTTAAAATATGAAGGGAGCTACCGAGAGCGTTTTAGATCATTCTTATCAACTATTCCCAGGACACAAATTATAAATACTTACATATCATGGGGAGTAGTGGAGATCAGAACATAAATGTATACTGAACATATAAAGAACACACAATGTATACTGTCAGAATAATCTTAAATTAGGGGGAAAATAGCTTTGAAATGAAGGCTGTCCTCATATGAGCTGAAGAAAACCTTCAATTCCAAACTATAAAATTCTAAAAAAGTCATTAACCTCATACTGAGGTGACCTTATATCCTCTGTTAACTTTCCTCCAGTCTCTCAAGATATGGCAAGAAAGCAAAAGCCATCCTAATTAGAGTAAGTTCAACCTGCTAAGAAATAATAATTTTTTGTTGTTGTTGTTGTTTTGTTTTTCTTCCAGTATCAGGAATTGAGCTCATGACCTTGAGCTTGCCAGGCAGGCACTGTGCCGCTGAGCTAAATCCCCAGCCCCTAATAAATTTTTCTCTAATCAAAAAAAATAAAATAAAATAAAATAAATTTAACCACTCATCAAGAGCTGGGGATTATGGAGGGCTGGCTCTTGGGCTATTTCTTTTTGTTTGTTAGAAATATCAAAAGATTTCAGTATTTATTAAACTCATTAAAAGCTATTTGAAGCAAAGATGCTTTGAGAGATAATTATTCACATGATGATCTCATCTTAGGTCCCTTCTGTTCTTCACAGATACTGGACAGAACTGCACAATCTATGTTGGGTGGGGGCTTTAATAGCACACTCAGGATCTGTTGCATAGGGTTCAAATTATCAAAAGGACTTTCAGCTTAGCATTCCCATCTTATTTTTCACCTCATTGGTATATCATTTCTAGGTATGTGGTCCACTGGTGAATAGTAAATACTCTCTCATCACCTCTGCTCTTTCTAGATCCCTCTATTCTCCATAGAACAGACTGAAGTTTCTACAAAATATAAGTCTGGTCATGTCACTTCCCTACTTAACATTGCTCAGAGGTGTCCTCCATTGATCTTAGCGTGAAGTCCAAATTTCTTATTTTGGCTTACAGGACTCTGTAGGAGGCAGTCCTGGATTACATACCACTCAAAATTTCTCTTATTCTCCACCTACCACTACCACACATCTTGTCTGCTTTCCTTCTATACTGAAAATCACTGCAATTTTATATACTTTCCTCTTGGTCTTCAACATTTTATTTTCTCATTCTGTGGTCTCACAGAGTTCTTTTGACTTGGCTTTGCATCCCAGACGTACATGTTAGCGTAAGCACATGTGAGAATGACTTCCTTGTGTGGTCTAACTCTTCCTATGACGTAGTCCCAATTCTGTAGTGGTATTTTAGCCAGTGGGTAGTATAATCCTAAACACTGCAGTGTTTTTGTCTTGATTACCACCTTCCCTTCCCTCAGCAAGTCAGACTGAATGATGTTTTGTGAAATAAATTGCTTCGAATTGAGAGCAGCTCTACAATGGAGTGTTCCGGCCATCTCTCTGCATGCCGCTAGTTGTGCACTACTGAGATATGTGCAGGCCCCCTTGGTCTGTATGATTTGGCTTATTCTGAGCAAAGTAAAAGATGATATCATAACATTGATGAGATATTTAATTCAACAAAGAGGTCGTTTAACAGTCTTATTTTCTACATTAGCGGGAAAGTAATCTGGGGAAATAAAGCAATATAATGTATCTATCCAATTTTTAATAGATGTGGCTGTTTCCATGCACCTTCAGCACAAGCATCAGTACCTTCTATAGTTACTTTAAAAAAATGACTTCATGGCCCAGGCGGGGCCGAGAGGGGCTGGACCTTTATGTGGTAAGGTTCGAGGACCTTGAGAACTTCGATCTTCTTTTCAGGGATACGCATGGAAGCGGCTGCCTGGGGAGGGGGCTGGAGTTCGAGGAAGTTGTTAGTAACAGCTGCCTTTACGGGATGGTTAAGCACTTGGCCTGCGAAAAGCTTTGCATTTTGCTTGCATCATCTGAGTTAATCATAGCAACTGTCACGGCAGGGGTTTGGGGTTCCCATTTTACAGGTGGAGAGACTGAGACTCAATCAACTCAAACCGCCAAGGTCATTCAGCCAATAAATGGTGAAGACTGGCTTTGTATTCAGAGCTCTGACCTTGCAGCCCGGTGCTCTTGAACCACTTGGCTTTGTTGCTGGGTGTGGGAGAGGTGTGTCGTGCCCCGAGGTTTCTCTATAGAAAAGGCCGGGGGAAGGGAGGCCTAGCAGGGAAAGAGGGGGTACAACTGAGGCAAGGGTGAGCGAATCAGTTATTTGGCAGTTACTGAGTGCTTTCTCTGCCCTGCATTGTTCTGGGCTCGGTGCTCACAAAGATGAATAGAGCCAGAGGCGAATGAGGCTCCATCACATCCCTTTCAAAACCCTGGGTTGGGGGCCTCCATCCTGTACCCACGTGATGATATATTTTTATAAAATTTACAAAAATAAGATATTTTGGGTTTTTTTTTAAAGAGCCACACACACACACACACACACACACACACACACACTGATTAAACTTCAGGTTCCTTCACACTTGGCTATGCTCTTGCAAAAGATGGGGTCCAGGTGGAGATGGAAAAAAAAAAAGTGACTTGGCAATCTGACATGTTATCTCTCCAGCCCTCTGCTTATGCATTCAACTATTGAAGTGCAGGCCCACATAGAGAATAAGAATCCAAAATTGTTATTAGTTATAGACAGAATATCTGGCTAATGATCTGCATTCACTTTTAAGGTGTTCTGTTGCTGAAACAGCACCACCTTGCACACCTTGCCTTTAACTTGCATAACAGTGTATTTTCACTAAGAATTTACTGTATTTCAAGACTTTGTTCCTTGAAAAAGCCCTCAATTCTCTGGATCTCTGCAAGTGACTACTAGGTGTGTCCAGGGCATACCAGAGTGTATGTTCAAATGGTGACCTTGATCTGACCCTGCTGTAGGACTCTCCTGGCTAGTGATAGGCCCTCTAAAGACTCCTGGTGCTCTGTGTATGGCCAGCACTCCCAGAAGACAGTGTGGCCATGTCCTGACAGCTGCTGTCACCTATCTCTCCGTTCTTTCATAGAACTGCTACCCGAATAGAACATGAAAGCTGAGTATTGTTATACTAAATTCACAAAATTACTCCTTACAGAATTCCCCAGATTAAGGTTGGTCCAACCAAGTTTACTATTGAGACAGAATTCACCCAGCTTCAAGTTGTCCAAGAGCTCCTGGCGTTCAGTTCGACCAGTGAATGGCTACTGTGAGTGCTGTGCACCGTGCAGTGGACAGGGGGCCTGCGTGACCTTCATAGCTCATGCACTTCCTCCTCCCCCATGAAAAAACCCTTATTCCTTACTGCAGGGACTGGGGCCGGATGCCTCCCACCCTAACCTGACGTTTACAGAGTGACTCCATTAATACTGACTTCACAAATAAAGTGGGAGAAGTTTTTTGAAATGGACAAATTTCTCCTAAATAATCAGATCATCCCTTTGCTTCAGGCTTGAGGAAAAAAGTAAACCAGATCAGGAACTGATACACTAAGGGGCAAGAGTCTTTTTTAGACACAGTATTGAAAAATTGAAGCAATCCATTGAGAGACCAGTCTCCAGCGACTCTGTCTGCAAGTATGGGGCCAAGACAATGGAAATGTCTTGGATGTCCTAGAGGCATCAGGAGAGAAAGATTCCACAGAACTTAGTCCCTGGATGAATCAGAGAAGCTCGTGAGGAAGCATAGAAATAAAAAATGGTTGGAATAAACTCAGCATATGCAGACGTTCCTTTGGCCTGGGAAGGAGCCATCACCTGCGAGGCACTGACTTCCACACTATCTGTATCTGATGGGGGCATGGGGTTGACTTGGGGAGGCTCAGGCACTGGTGCCTTTATAATCCAAGGCATGCTAGGCTGTGCTATGTGGGTGAACTGCATGGTGCCTGAGAAGGCATATTTCCAAAGAGCCTCACTGCCCTTGTTTGCAAGCTGTGTGAAAGAGAGACGAGCCCTAACCTTAGCAGAGGAGCCCAATCAGACAAGAACCAAGGGGAGGCAGGGAATGAAGGGGAGGGGTGGGACCCACCAGGGAGGGGCGGAACTCACCAGGGAGAGGCGGGACCCACCAGGGAGAGGCTCGTCCCTACGGCATCAGCAATGTCCTCTCCGGGACCCAGGAGGCAATTACAGAGTTGGGTTCAGAAAAATTCATTAAACTGCATATATTTATGTACTTTTTCTGTATGCTGGTTTACCTTACAACATAAAAAAAAAAAAAACTAAAGAAGAGAGCACAAAAGCACAAGAGCAAGTCCAGTCCTTATATCTTAGTAACTGTAGTATGTTGTAGAGTAAAAATAAGAATAAAAGCTATAAATGCTGACTGTGCCACTGTCCTCAGCTTACATTACGGGACAGCCCTGTGAGTTAGACGCTGCCATGCTCATCCCAAAAATGGAAAAACTGCCTCAGCAGCCTGGATCTGCCCAGAGCTTCACAGTCCTTGAGCTGCAAAAGCAGGTTGGGACGTAAGGTCTTCAGGTGTTCATGAGCCTGCCTTCCTGTGACAACTTGGCCCTTGTTCTCCAAGGACAGCTTGTTGCAGGCCAGGATGCCCTCAGGCACATCTACACAGTCCTGCCCTTCCTGGAGATAATGTCCAGAGACAAGTCCTTCCTCAAGATGGTAGTTTTAAGATGCCGTCTTGGCAGCATCTTTTTAAATACCTGCAGCAAGCGCTGCCTCATTAAGTGTGATGACTGTAATCGCTTGTCAGAGGGTATCTTGAGTTGTAATTAATGCTTCTTTTTGTTTTGTTTTGTTTTTGTAGTTTTTCTTCTGGTACCAGGAATCGAACTCACGACCTTGCGCTTGCCAGGCAGGCGCTTTGCCGCTGAGCTAAATCCCCAGCCCCGTAATTAATGCTTCTGTTGGGCTGTCAAAAGGAAAACACCCCTTAGGTTGCTGCCTAAAGCATATTGTGGCTCAGAGTTTCAGAGCCTTTGAGGGGCTTTCGTTTTTGTTATGAGGTGTATCAAAATACAGATTCTCAGATGACTCCTCTCAGCCCTGTGTAGCCTCCAGCTCTACGTGAGATGCATCCACCGATGCTTCAAAGCTCTGTGTGGTGGTTCTTCTGCCTATAAGGTAGGAAGTAGAACAGACTCCCGGTCTAAGAGGACTAATGGGACTCAGCCTCCCGCAGTCTGGAAAAGTGACTCACCCTTGGGGACTTCAGGCATTGTCTCTGATGCATAGGTGAGGGTGATTAACCTCAGGTGGAGTGGAAGTCCAAGACCCGGGGCCATGAGTGGCTGTCAGTGGCTCCATGTCCCTGAGCCATGTCCAAGGGTCCAATGGAAATTTTATTTCACACTGGCTCCGCTGGCTTCCGAAAAATCCCTATGCTCATAACCTTTGTACTATAGGGCCAGCTCCATGCTTCTCAAAGACCGAGGATGCTCAGGCTTGCATATAAAAGGTAGAAGTGAGGGTCAGGAAGATAGAAGCCACTAAATAGTGTACATTTTCCTAAAATAGTCAAATGTTAAAATTGTAGGATTGAGATTGATCCCATACCAATTCCAAGTAAATTCTGGGTCTGGTATTTGTTGGAGTTAATACACTTAAATTTCAGTCAGTGTCAAGAGGCCCAGGTAATCTGAGGGTGACCAGTTAGGAGAATGTTCATGCCTCTGTGTGTTGTGGTCGCCCTTCATACTGCATCTGCCATAAGACTGACAGTGATGTGTGCACCTTGCTCAGGGGAGGGTACCAGGACGTAACCTGATCTTTCAGGCCAGGCTTGAGGAGAACAGTGTTAAGTACCACATGGGCGCTGTCAGAATCTGCACAGGGGCTCAGGAGGTCAGATCTCCATCTGTCACAGGAGGATATAACTGGTTTCTCTGCTGTATGTCCTACTTGCTCAGTTTTCTTCTTGATTCTTCAGATAAGCAGATCTTACTGATAGGCTTGTGCGCAATGTAATGACCTGGAATTGTGATTGACACAATATACTGGGGGTACAAAAATAAACACAGATAGAACTATGGAGTAAGTTATATAATAGCCTGAAGTTTGAGGACAAAATGTGATATTTCACAAACAGACTCAATGTTTTGAGGCAGGTTTGGGCTAGCATAAAGTGAGATCTAGAAGAGTATGGTTGGTGTCAGAAAGGGAGAGAGAATGTTAATTCATTCTCCTTTGACCATTTTGGTGACCAAGCTTAAAGTTCAGATTCTCTAAGTCCAAACTGACCACTACCTCCCAGGTATATGTTCTTGGAGCAGGCTCTGTGATCACAGTGTTGTCCTCAAATAAGAGTCATGGAAAGCATTGTCATAGAGTTGTTAGGAACTACAGGTTCATCCCACTTGCAGTCATGTTCCAGCTCTGCCATCTGCAGCACCCTCTAGGGCACATCAGCTTGGGGGGAAATGAGGGTGGTAACCTGCTTCATACAGTGGCTATGCAGATTAAAAGGGCTCATTTGTGTACAGTCCTTGGAAAGTGTCTGGCGTAGGGTCTGCACTCTGTAAATGCTGGCCAGCAGTAGCATGAGGAGAAAAAGGTGGGGAGAAGGAGATATAGGAACAGAGGAAGGAGAAAAAGGAATGCTGCTGAGGAAAGTGGCCACCTTTTGCAGACCTCTCAGCCTTTTTCAGATGTTTTGTCTTTCTTTTGTGGTTCTTGTTTCTTCAGTCTTAACATCATGGATTTAAATCCTTGAACAATTGTAGAGATTTCCTGAGAAACAGTGAGTGGCTATCCTCATAGTTACTTCTATTTGCTCCTGCCAGAAACACATGAGTTCTCTACACACCATTCCCAGGAGAAAAGAGCAGACATGAGGGTAGGAGAAGGAAACCGGGCCGCTGGTTGCCATTTGGTTTCATTTTCTATTGAGTTCCCTTTCACCTAGGTCCACCCCTCTGTGGTTTTTTAAATACTTAAATAGAAAATAAACACAGCAAAGAAACAAGCCCAGATTTCTTCCCTAGATTCTGAAGTTTTTCCTAGGATGTGTTGTGGACTACACCTTTGTGGTTTAATACTACAAATAGCCATTGAAGCATTAGAGTCAAAAATTCCTCCCATGGTATCATTGTGCCTGTTTTTTAAGTCAAGGATCAATTCAGAAGAAACCTCCTTATTTAACAATGCTAGTGTGGATGGTCAGAAGCAGCAGGGGGTGGAGGGTACTGTGCATGGTTGGCCCTTCTTTATTTCAAAATTGCAACCTTTAAGCCTGATCCAAAGCATCAGACAAAAACAGGGGATGACAGGTGGGAATATAGGGGAAAAGAGTCTCTTCCTGCCTTTTGAGTTTTAAAAGCCTAGAATTTATGGGAATATTCCAGCCTTTGATTTAAGTGATCTGGGAATAAACCTAGTGAATAGGAGCCAGAGGCCTCCTCCTTCTCCCCTTCCTCCAGTGATAGCAGAAGATTCTTCCTGCCAGCGGTACAAGAGGGAAGGAAAGATATGAGGGCTGATCTGTGTGTTCTGCAAAACACTGTACTCTCCAGATAAAGCCTCACAAGGTCTTTGGGGACCATGAGAAGAAGGGACTTGTGCAGAAGAAAGGACCCAGGGAAATCCCCATGGAAGTGGCCAGATTCAAAAAACTAAGTAGATGAAAAGAGTATGCACAAAGGTAGGTCCTTACATGGCCTCTGAAAACTTCCACGTAGCTCGGACTAACTGAAAGTTAGAAGATGGTTCCTGTGTGCCTGAGATGTGGCATGTCAATGGAACAGAAATGGTATGGGGGATGGATCTCAGGGACATCCCTAAAGCACCCAGTGTGGCCCAACAACTGTGGGACAACACAACAATGGACATCACTGTGGAAACTACAGATGGGTGACACAGCAGACCAGTAGGCTGTCCTGGCCCTTCTACAAAGAAAGGCCCTGGGTGTTAGACAAGACCTTGAGTAACAGGATAAGAATCCTGATTTCACTGAGATGAATTTGCCATTGCTGTATAACACTGACAGTTTACAAGACAAATTGAAGTGGATATCTGAAAGATAACACTTCTGAGATCCATGGTCTGAGATATACCTTTATCCCATGAGTACACCTAATAAGTACACCATGGAACCTGGATTTTCACTGCTGAAGACAACTTTTCAAAGGAAGATTAAAAAACCCATCAAAAATAGGTAAAAATCTTTGAGGGTTCACCTTTCTGAGGGCTTATTCCATGTTTGGTGTGGCACTGCACACACCATGATAGAGCCAAGGAGTGGCTGCAGCTACGGAGAACTTAAAGGGGCTGCCTACAAGCCCCCTATGTCTTCAGTTCCCACAGGGTGAGGAGAAATTTGACAAATGTTCCCAGATCTTCAAAGAGATTTGGGGATTCTGAAAGGAAGAGTGACCTAGCAGGGGTCTGAAACTTGGAGAAGGTAGCAGAGGGCAGTGGTAGAAACTTGTCATCAGCTGGGGAGGAAAGAGGATTCTGGTGGATTTCAGGTTAGACATGATGCTCAGGCCACCAAACCATGCCACCAAACCATGCCACAGCAGATGCTGTAAATGACAGAGACCACATCCAAAGACTGAGCAAGAGGGAACACTTCAAAGAGTGACCAGACACTTCTCCTGCAGTGTTGAAAAAATATATCAGCACCTTCATCCAACCTGTGAGCACTTGTGTAACCTCTGAGAAGAAAAGCATGTGAATGTGGAGAAGAAAATAAAACCTGCTAAACAGAGCATTTGCCCCATGGTGATCAGCTCTGAATTTGACAGTGATTGAGAAAATAATGTTGAATTATTAGGAAAGTACAGATCATATTGAATATGCCAGAATGGAAAAGATTGAATTACCTTTTCTCAAGAGCAAAGTTGAGTTCAAAGTACTTGAAAAGAATGCCATGTTTGCTCACACTTCAGTTCATGATGGTCTTATATAGATTGGCAATACTTGTCAAGGAAAGTAAAAGAAAAATAGTATTATAGGGACACTGGGAATAAGAAAGCAGCAAACAGGTTCCTAATTGTAGAAGCCTACATACACAATATGGTCCCACAAGAGGGATTTATAGCAGGAGGACACTGACTCCAGGCCAAAGTCACTTCATAAATTTCCCACTAGAAGATTCACAAAAGTAACAATAAAGCTATATTACAGCTACTAGGGAAGAACAAAAAGAAAACTGCATGCCCATCCAGAACATAGGAGTAGCAAGGTAAAAAATAGGAATGGATTTCAGAGAAATTTGCAAAGTAAAACCAAAAGAACTAGTTGTGTAGTATATGACTAAAGAGAGGGGAAGAGATTCAGGGTAATCTGCTGCCAATTGATTTGGACAACCAAATGTAGGGAAGTGGCATTCACAAGTTTTACCAGAAAAGATATGGCTGCAAATTGAGAGGTGAGAGGAAATAAGGAACATACTGAATATGGAGCTCCTGGGGGACAGATGGGTAGTGCTGTTAGCCAGGAGTTTAAAGAAGAAATCTAGAAAGGAACAAACATTTGGGAGGCATCAGTGTACAAAGAATAGCTGAAGTCATACTATCCTTGAGATTGACCAGCAGCTAGATATCTGGAGTGAAAAGAGAAAAAAGATCCAGGAGCAGAGATACTTGGAGGATGGAAATTGAGCACAGTGCAAAGAGCTCCTGATGAGTGCTGGGGAGGAGCAGCCAGAGGACTAGGAAGTGAGCCAGAAGAGGTAAAGTTCAGGAAAAGGAGTGGAGAGCACCGTGAGGAAATAGAAAACTGATTCACATCCCAAGAAGAGCCTTAGAGAAAATGTAGAGTCAGAGGCTCTGGGTGACCCCATCTCTGCACTTCTGTCTTCTGGGGTTGCATGATTTTACATGAGGTTAGGGTAGCTGGAGCCTGCCTAACTGAACCACCTACTGAGATAGGATTTTGTTTCAGTTTTATATCACTGCTTGCCTGGTTTAGCTAAGAATAACTAAATCTGTGGAAAGTGATAGTAGAATGGCAAGAACTTTGTGGGGGCAACCCCAGCCTTCTGTGAGAGGTTCATCATCTCAGCACCTTCCTGAACTACAGATGCTGGAATTTCTAAGCTTCAAACATTCTCAAATGCTTTGTAGATATATGAACTTTCTATGTACTCAGAATCATGCCAGGGCTATAGGGGGCTCTTTCTTTACATAGCAAGCCCACCATAAAATAAATCCAAGCGTTCAATTGTTTTGAACACTTTCCATGGCCATTCATCTCCTTAGAAGTTGGTTAGCACTCAGCGCTAATTTTACTTTGGCTTCTAGACCTGTATGAACTTGTATATGGCCTCTTTTTACTCCACTACATGGACTACTTGGGATATGCTGAATCATAATTCTTCAGTCACATATGGAAACAAAATAGTCCTCCATAGAGTTGTGTGTTTTCAAAGATGTCCATCTTTGATCCTTGTCTTGTCCTCAACACTACCCAAAAGCAGGGACTGAAGGATCTCCCTGGCTGTGAGCTCAGATTCACATTACTCCTCATGGATTCACCCTGCCCCCCATGACCATGGTATTTGGTGTGTCTACAGCGTTTTCTGGGATTCTCATTTATTTACCATCCCTTTCTTGATTGTGGTACAACTTAGCCCTGGAAATTCTTCCATGCCTTGTCCTGTGTCCCACCTACTCATAGCCTTCTCTATATTTACTGTCAAGAGAACTTCAAGAAGCATTAAACTTAGCATGCCACTTTTCTATAGCTGTAATAGTTTATCCATTCAACAAGTATTTTCATTCCATTTTCTGGAATAATGAGTAAAATTTAGTTCTTGAGGTTCATAGCTTCATCCTGTGGACAGACATGAAGATAGACAGAATGATGTGATAAGATGCTATGATGTGGTGAGAAACCTAGGCAAATAACCTAGTATTGGAAGTGAAGAAATTTTCTCAAAAGAATTTTGAAACTAAAGAGTGAAATAAAGAGCAAAATTCTATTATCTGTAGAAAAATGAGTGGAACTAGACAGCATCATCTTAAGTGAAATAAAACAGATGCAGAAGAACATGACAGTGGAAGAGGAATTACTAGGGACTGGAAAAATTGGATAGGAGGAGAAGAGATGGGAAGAGAAGGTAGAAAAAGGGTGGTCATATTTAATGCCTGATGAATGCATACATGGAAGTAAAACAGTAAATCTTATTTTGGAGATATGTGTTAATATAGCCATTAAATTTGTGTAGCTTTTATTATTTTTACATTTTTTAATTTCATTGGTACATTTTAGATATACATAGTGATAACATTCATCACAGAGAATTTTTACCTGTACATGTCATATCTTGCTTCTTATTTTTCCACATTTCCACCCCTCCCTTTGAGCCTTCTTCTGCTTATTTACAAAAATTTGTTTCCATTTTTTCCTTCTTCTTGTCCCTTCACTCCTTTCCCCTCTCTCCCCTCCCTTCATCCCATTCTCATTTGAACATTTTTTCCTGTTTCCCAATACCTATTATACATTTCAGTTTCACACACAAGAGCAACAATGTAGTATTTAAACATGTATGTCCAATTTATTTCACTTAAGAATATGGTCTTAAGGTGTATCCATTTAGCTACAAATGTCTCAAATTGATCCTTCTTTATAGCAGAGTAGTTCTCTTTTGTATATTAAAAAAACCCTACATCTTTTTTATTCATTCATCAGGTGAGGGGCATTTGGACATTTTGGGCTGATCGAGGATTTAGCTTACAAACTGTATCCCTATAAACATACAAGTGCCTATATTACTGTAGTATGATGCTTTTAACTCTTTTGAGAAGATACCAAGAAGGGGAATAACTGGGTCCAATGGAACCTCTAGTTCCAGTTTTTGAGGGAACTCAACACTAATAGCCACAGTGGTTTCACCAGACTATACTCCACCAACAGTGAAGAAGTGTTTCTTTTTCTACACAACCCCTCAAACATTTGTTGTTGGTTGATTTGTTGATAATATATATTCTTTCTGGAATGAGATGGAATCTCAGCATTTTTTAAAATTTTATTTTAAAGAGATAAAAAAATAACAAAGTCCCTTGCATTCAGATACCTGCTTGTTGTTGAAGGTGAGAGACTGGATTGTTATATGTGCAGGCCATGCATCTGGCAGCCACTGAAGTACACAAAGTCCACAGTCTGGGAACAAAGAAGTTGTGGCCTAGTAATCTTACCATGACAGTCTTTCCTAAGTGAGTGTGGCTATGCAGCTCCTTTATCATAAAATGCCCTAAAGCTTCAGGGAGGTATATCTTTCCTCCAGGTAAAACCTGCCACCCATCTTTTTCCTATGGCCCCTTCTGTATTGGCCCATTTTAATTTTGCTTCTGAAAACTTGGGTGGTTTGAGAAGTGGAGCCAGTAGGGCCCAGGGCACTGGGAGCAACTCTGCGTCAGTGGCTTGTTTGGGGGCCAAGTCTGCCACTCAATACGCTTGAGCTTCCATCAAATTGCCTTTCAGATGCCTGGGACAACAGATCACAGCAACTCTGACAGGCAGCCAAACAGCCTGTAAGAGGCTCAGTGTTTCTTGGGAATTTTTGACATATTTTTTCCCCTGCAGTCAACAAGACCCTTTCCTTGTAGATAGCACCATGCATATGCATAGTGGCAAATGCATAGCAGGAGTCAGTATAGATGTTTACCTCTTTGTGCTTTCCTTCTTGTAAGGCCCATATGAGGGCAATCAGCTCAGCTCTCTGAGTAGACGTCTCATGAGGCAGAGTCTGACCCTGGACAGTCTGTTTGATGGTGATGACTGCTGCTCCTGCCCTCCAGACCCCATTGATTACCATGATGCTTCCATCAGAAAACAGGTTCACATTCTGGAGGGATTCATCATGTAATTCCGGTCAAGCCAAGTAGATTGTCTCAATCACTTCTATGCAGTTGTGTTCAGGTGACTCCAGGGACACAGGCCAAAGAAAGGCAGAATTGAGGGCCTGAATAGTTTTAATGATTAGTTGGGGATCCTCTAATCATTTTGTCTAAAAGACAAAAGAGTCTTTTGATAGTGGCCCAGCCTGGCTCCTGACAGCCACTTACCACCAGGTCACCTCAAGAGGATCTCCACTGCATGGGGAACAAACACAGCTCTTGTCCCAAAGTCATTATATCAGCTTCCTTTACCAGAATGGCAGTGGCCATGGTAGCACACAGTCAACAAAGCCATCCAGCTGCCACATAACCTAATCTCTTGGATAAATATGTTACTGGGTGCTTCCAAGATCCCAAAGTCTGAGTTAGGACACCCCAAGCAGTGCCCTCTTATCACTGTCAGTGTCAGCCATCAGGATTAGTCATGGCCATTGCTTGATCATGTTGTGCTCTGTGAAAGCCTGTGAGACTTTTTTTTTATGGTGACTCTCCTTAGACGCACTATATACCATAGAATCACTTTTCTCTGTGGTCCCACAATCTCCTTAATCAGAAGATCAGGAACTCAGTGAGTTATAGGATGTCACAGCAGAGGTTCTCTTATATCCTGGGCCCTCACTGACTTCAGAACCTAGAGCAAAAACATTGGCTATCCCTTTAGCCCATCTATCTTTTTAAGTTTTGGTCTCCAAACCTCAGGTGTTGAACATCCAGAAGAGAAGATTAATGACATTACATTGTAGTGGGAACAGTGAAGTTAATTATTAAAATTTTATCTGAGTATTAAGCACCTTGAAATATAAAGTATAGCCAGAGAACTGTTACTTTTTCACCAATCATCATTCTAGTAGTTGAATCCTTGTAGAATGTTAACAGACAATAGTTATATAGTTTTACAGAGAAAATTTGAAATCAAAAGGCATACTAGTACTGTAACATAACAGTAATGATGACATTTTTGTAACACATTCAAATCCCCATCTTGGAACAGAATAGCTTTTTTAGTCAATCATCTCTACCTAGTACATAAGAAGCTTTTACTTAATTTGTTGTCCTTTGATAGGCTGTCACTGAAGAAATTCATAACATTTTCTGGGCTGTTCAATATCTAAGCATCTCTACATGTAGTGGCACATGCATGGTATAAACATCACATAAGTGTTTTGTTAAAAAAAATTATCATTTGACTGATGACCTCATGTTAGCTTGACATGAACCTCTTATTACAACTATCTGGAGCACAAGAGAATGGCAGATCATTATAAACAATCTCAGTTTTACATTTTTGAATACTGTACATTTGGAAGGCATGAATACATTTAATACATCAGGAAATTAGTGATAATGAATTGTCATTATTTTATTTCTTAATTTAGTTTTGTATCAAGAGCATATTTTCATCACAAAATCTTATTGTCTTTTTTAAAAAGCTTAACCTTTCGATGATTACCAATGTAAACATATCACAGTAATATATTTTAAACAATATTTACTGGGGTGTCTCCATAAGACTAGAGATTATTGGGGCTCTTTATTAATGAATAAAAACTGATTAACATTATTCCAGGCAGATGCTTTTTACCATCAATTGGAGTCCTGTCTAGTAATCTCCCTCTACCCTAAGGGGTTTTTGTTTAATTAGCTTAACAAATTTTTGATGACTTGTAAAAACCCAATCACAATACTTAACATACTAATTTTTGAACTGTGAGACACTCTCAATAATATGTAAATAACAATATGTATTACATTTATGAAGCCAATTTTAACACCATTTTGACCAGCTGGCAACTTTGGTACAAGCATATCTTTAATTTATACTACATTTATCTATAAATCAAATCACATTACAAAAAAATGTTCAAAAAATCCAAAAATATAAACAGAATTTTTTTAGCTCAAATAAAACAACTGTTTATAGATTGGACAGAGAAACAAACAAACAAAAACACCCACAAGATAATGTGTTTATAAACTCAGAGGGCACTCCAATATATTTTTGGCCAAATTGAATTATAATAATTTCTTTTGACCTAGGAATGGGGGTATAGGCTAAGTAACTACCAATACATTTGCACAAGTGTCTACCAGAAATCTACTAGGTTCCCCCTATACTTGTGGTCAACATGGGTCTCCTGGGACTGAGAGACAGAGACCCATGACCCCATCATTTTGAAACTTCCTATGAATCCATCACAAATACTTTCTTTTCTTTCTGTAGCAGCTTTGGACAGTCTCACTTGAAATGTCCCTTTTCCTTGCAATAGACACACTGGTCTGGATCTAAAGAAGAGTGACATTCTACCTGCTGAGGCCATCTTCCTTCATCATTTTTTTCCTCCTCCAGTCCCTGACTGAGCCACTCCCTTGTAAGCTGCCTATAACACTCTCATCTGTTCTTTCTGAAGTCTCCACTTTTTGTCTTCTCTATTGTAGAACACATTTTGAGCCACCTCAGTCAACTGAATCATAGTCATCCCTGCAAACCCATCCAGTTTCTGTAACTTGTGGCAGATATAAGAGGCCAACTGGATAACAAAAGCCATATTAACAGTGCAAGTGTTCTTGGGTGCCTGTGGATGGAATGGAGGGGCTCAAGGAATCCAGTCCCTGATGCACTTCAGCCCCTTTGTTTAAGTTTGTAGGGTGGCAGGAAGCCACATGTGGCCCATTTCTTAAAGCCTGATTGTGGGCTTCCAATCACTGCATCCTTTCCACAGGGTTATGATCCCAGTTAGGTGACTCCTGGGGCATAAAGTAAGCCACTGCCTCTGTTTTGTCTTGTTCTGTTCTTCTAGTTTGTAGTCTTGATTTTCAGCCATGTTCCAACTTTTTTCTCTTTCCTCTGAAGAAAATAGGATTAGCAATATCTGTCAACAGTCATCCCAAGTGGGGTGGTGAGTTTTAAACACTAACTCCAGTAAGGTCATCAGAGCCCAAGGCTATTCTGAAAAAGGAGGATTCTGGGCTGTTCAATTATACAAGTCACTAGTGCTAAAAGGGGCATAAATGAAAACGGGCGGATGATTCTTTCCCACCCCTGGCAAGCCTGCCTATCAGAGGGGTAGAACAGGGACTGGGTCTGAAGAAGATATTTCCCCATCCAGTGAGGTGGAATCTGCCACAGGGTCCAGAGAGGGCTGCCACTGGGGTGGTGAGGAGCGCATGAGACAGGATAGGGCAGTGGTGGTTTAGGAAGGGGAAGAGATATGAGGTCCTCTTTCTTCAGGGCCGAGGGTAACAGAGGGGGGATTTCTGTTTTAAGGACCAGAACTTGGTCAGGAAATCCACAAACACACACCCTAAGCCACTGGATAACACCCAAGCTGTGTACAGCCAGGAGTCTACATAGGGGAACTCATCTGGGTGTCCAGGTTTCCTGGTAATAACATCCCACACCCTACTGGATACCTGAGGATTAAGTGTTACTTCTGCTGGTCATCCTACATCAAAAGAGGACCATTCCAATTCACATAAAGTGTGGAGCTTTCTTGATTTAATCCTTACCCCATAGTCACATTTAAATTTGTCAAAATTCTTGATCATGTAATCCACAATGGTCAGCTTGCTCTCTGCTGAACCCATAGTAGCCTAAGTTAGAACAAAGTGACAGCAATCTACTTCAGTAAATCTTTCTCCCCCACTCAGCCAGCAGTAAAAACTATAGTCTAAGGCTATGGTGACCTTAGATCATGGGCACATTTAGAGAAACACAAAACACCCAAAGGACAGACAGCCCCAGGGATATTCACCACTCCCCACTGACAAATTTAGAACAATTCCAAAAGCTAGCACTGGTCAAATCCAGAGACAAACTCTGACCAAATTCTTGACCATGCCAAGACCAAGTAACTGTTGTGTCTGGGCCTACAAAAACTATCATGTACAGCAGTCTCAGCCCATGAGCAACCAGATGTCAGCCTGGTGAAACAAGTCCCTGTATGAGCCAAAGTGAAATCAAATTTTAAATGCCTATCTAGGTCGGGATGCAGGGCTTGGTTGTTCTGTCTTGCAGCTGTGGCATCCTGCCCAGTAGTCATCTCAGGAGGCTGGCTGAAATCAGTTGGTGTGCCCTGCTGCCCAAAGATGGACCACCAAGACAAGGAGGCATGGGCTTCCTCAAACAAGGACCTTCCCCATAGAAGATCTCACTGGGTCCTCCAATTGTTACAGCTAAATGTGAGAAACACTCACAGAGGCTGAGAATGTGCAAGCAAGCTTTATTACAGCCAGCAGAACAGTGATCATCAGATGCCAAAACACTAATGACCTGGGCTTTGGTTTACAGGGTTTTTATACATTAACAAGTTTCCAATCACCATAGCAACTGCATTCCAGGGGTTTTCACAAGAAGGCCAAGATTTACATTTCCCATGTGTTCATTAAGCAGGATACAGTTAATCTTAGCTTATCCAAAGTTTGTTTTATCTAATATTTCCTCTAGATAAAAGACTTGTTCCTCCTTTTATGGTTTTATGGTTAGTTAAAGAGAAGAGTGAGGAGTGAGTTCATCTAAAGTTTAAGGGACTACTAAGATAGAGGCTAGAAACAAAATTGAGTCACTTTAGCAATGTGAAAGTGGCTGAGCATGTTTGGAGTTGTTTCTGCATCTTCTAATCGGTTCCATTGATCACTGAGTCTGTTTTTTTGTCAGTACCATGCTCTTTTTATCACAGTAGCTTTGTAGTATAATTTCAAGTCAGGGATTGTGATACCTCCAGGTGTAAATTTGTTGTCCAGAATTTCTTTGCTATTCTAGGGCTCTTCTGGAACCAAATGAATTTTAGGATTCTTTTCTCTAATTCTGTGAGATATGCTCTTGGAATTTTGACTGGGATTACATTACAAGTATATAACAATTTGAGAAGTATGACCATTTTCACTATATTGGTTCTTCCTACCCAAGAACAAGGGATAT